GGTAATATAGCAGGAGGAAGGAACATTAGGCATGTTGGCCCCCCTGAGTTACTCAGAGAAACAATAAGTAAATCAATACATGTATTGACCAACGAGTTCGATGAATAAAATAACGGATAGGTGAGAAAAGGAACCCGTGGCCTCCGCATGCAGACAAGAAGCCCCCCGGCCCCAAAGTGAGGAAAACTGGGGCTCCTGCTTGGAAGCGCTCCCCAGGGGCAGCCCCCCACCCACCCAGCCCCTCCAAACGGGGGTCCGCCCTGCGGCAAACCTCACATCTTCATGTCGTTGATGCCCAGCTTGCTGTTAAAACACTTCCCGACGTCGCAGCCGAACCACACGGCCTGCGGGAGGAGAAAGAGGCGTCAGGATGAGGACGAAAAAGGCAAAAGAGAATCGGGGTCAACCAAGGGGGGTGGGTGGGTGGGGGGTCTGGGGAGGGAGGGGCAAGGGGCCGACCTCTCCATCCTGAATGGATGCCGCCGCCATCTTTTTCAACAGCTCCACCGGCTGATTGTTGTACAGGGTCTTCCGGCCGCCCACCATGTTGCCCAGGTACTCCACCGTGTAGAGCTGGTTGTATTTGTTCCGGGGTCGAGGATCGTTCACGAGACACACCTGGGAAGATGGGAGAGGAGAGGGGGGAGAGGTTAGGGGCAACCGGGGGGGGCAGGAAGGGGGCAAGTCCTGGCTGGGCTGGGATGACCCCACCGGCTAGAAGGGACGGTTTAAATTTGGGGATGTCCGCCTTGTGGACTTCAGTTCCCAGAATGCCCCAGCCGGCATGGGACTAGAACCCCTTGCCTTCGGGTGATGGGGCCACAATCACTCAGCTGGCTTTCATGGCTAAGGAAAGGGCTAGAACTCACCGTCTCCTGGCGACTGGGCCAAAATCACCCAGCTGGCTTTCATGGCTAAGGCGGGACTAGAACTCACAGCCTCCTGGTGATTGGCCTAAACTTTCTAGACAGTGAGTTCTAGTACCTCCTTAGCAATAAAAGGTGGCAGGGTGACTTTAGGCCCAGACTTTAGATACTAGAACTCACTGTCTCCTGGTGATCGGCCCAAAGTCACTCAATCGGCTTTCATCTCTAAAGTGGGACTAGAACTTCCAAGATCCTGGTCAGTGGGTCAAAGGTCCCCAGCTGGCTTTCCTGCCTAAGGCAGGAACGAGAGCTCACGGTCTCCTGGTGATTGGACCAAAATCACCCAGCTGGCTTTCACGCCTAAGGTGGGACTAGAACTCCCAGTCTCCTGGTGATTGGCCCAAAGTCACCCAGCCACTTTTATTGCTAAGGAGGGACTAGAACTCACCGTCTCCTGGTGATCGGCCCAAAGTCACTCAATTGGCTTTCATCTCTAAAGTAGGACTAGAACTTCCAAGATCCTGGTGAGTGGGTCAAAGATCCCCAGCTGGCTTTCCAGACTAAGGCTTTCCAGACTAAGACTCCTGGCGATTGGACCAAAATCACCCAGCTGGCTTTTACGCCTAAGGCAGAAACTAGAACTCACTGTCTCCTGGTGATTGGGCCAAAGCCACCAAGCATCTTTCAGGACTAAGGCGGGACTAGAACTCACAGTCTCCTGGTGACTGGCCTAAAGTCACCCAGCCACTTTTATTGCTAAGGAGGGACTAGAACTCACCGTCTCCTGGTGATAGGTCATATCACCCAGCCATCTTTTATTGCTAAGGAGGGACTAGAACTCACTGTCTCCTGGTGATAGGTCATATCACCCAGCCATCTTTTATTGCTAAGGAGGGACTAGAACTCACCGTCTCCTGGTGATAGGTTCAAAGTCACGGAACCACCTTTTATTACTAAGGAGGGACTAGAACTCACCGTCTCCTGGTGAGGAGATAGGTCCAAAGTCACCCAGTCACTTTTATTACTAAGGAGGGACTAGACCTCACCGTTCTCCTGGTGATTGGCCCAAAGTCACCAGGCTGGCTTTCCTCTCTAAGGTGGGACTAGAACTCACAAGCTCCTAGTGATGGGATCAAAGGCCCCCAGCCGCCTTTCCTGATTAAAGCGGGACTAGAACTGCCCACCTTCTGGTTTCTAGGCCAGCACCTTCGGGGGCTTTACCGAAACCATGAAATAAGAGGACAGACTATGGCAGTGATGGCGAACCTTTTAGAGACCGAGTGCCCAAACGTCAGCTCAAAACTCATTTATGTATTGCTGGGTGCCGGCTGGGTGTGGCCTGCTGGGTGGGCGTGGCTATAGTGGTCATGGCCGCCAGGTGGGCGGGGCAAGGATGGGCATGGCCAGCTCGATATTGATCCTGGGGAGGGACGCCTGTGGGGGGCGGGTAGGGTTGGAGGAGATCCAGGGGTGGGTGAGGCGGTGGGCAGGAGGCTGGTTTTCCAGGGTGAGGCAAGGCTGGGCGGGGGTGCCATGTCGCAGGGCAAGGCGAGGCAGGGGCCAGGGCGGCTGCTGCCTGACACCATCGTCCCTCCGCACACAAAGGCCAGCAAGTCCATGGGTGCTGGGATGCATCCGGCCACGTGGGACCTCGGCAAGTTAGCAGGGGGCTGGTGGAAGAGGATGGTTGCCATCTCCGGGGCATGGCGCGAGTGCCCACAGAGAGGGCTCCGAGTGCCGCCTCTGGCACGCGTGCCATAGGTTCGCCACCACTGGACTATGGGGTCCAATCTCTCGGAGGCTTCCCGGATGCGAGGAGAAAGGAGAATTCCAATCAACGCGCCCTTCCAGTTGGAATCCAAAGGGAATTCTAGTTTCAGCCAGGAAGGAAGGGCTGAAAACGTCAGAGCTGATGCCGGAGGATGGGCTGGGCTGGGCTGGGCTGGAGAAAAGGTATTTCAGGTGAGGAAGGTACCCAGATCCCTAAAAAAGATTCCAGGATCCGGCTGGTTTACGTCGCGGGATCTCCCTACCTTGCTCTCCATATCAAAGAGCGGCTTGACGTGTTCCTGGTAAAACTTCGCAGGGCTGATCGGACCGATCTTGTGGTAGTTTTTCTCCTTGTCGTAATATTCCCAGGAGAAGGTGGTAGGGGGGTTCCCCAGGCAGATGCTGACCACCCGGAAGACCTGGAAGAGGAGAGGAGGACGTGGCGGTGGAGACCCAGCCATCCCCTAAGCGGGCTGGGCTGGGCGAGGTTGGAAGCAGCGGGGTGGAAGCGGAGGAAAGAGGGAGGGCGGAGGGCAAAGGAAAAAGCATGGCAGCGCCACAATGGGATTTGCACCCAGGGTCGCCAAGGAAGAAACCTCAAGCTGGAAGAACTGCCAGAGGTGTGTGGAGGAGGAGGAGGAGGAGGAGGAGGAGGAGGAGGAGGAGGAGGAGGAGGACGATGACTGTGGGGGTCCTTGGTGCTCTCTGAGCTTGGCTGTTTTCTTGCAGACATTTCATGACCCAACTGGGGAACAGCATCAGTGCTAGAAGGGAGGAGGAGGAGGAGGAGGAGGAGGAGGAGGAGGAGGAGGACTGTGGGGTCCTTGGTGCTCTCTCTGAGCCTGGTGGTTTTCTTATACCCAACTAGGTAACATCATCAGTCCTAGAAGGGAGTGGAGGAGGAGGAAGGAAAGAAGGAAGGAAGGAAGGAAGGAAGGAAGGAAGGAAGGGAGGGAGAATGGAAGGAAGGAAAGGAAAGGAAAGGAAAGGAAAGGAAAGGAAAGGAGGAAGCCGGATTCACTTAATGACTGTATGATTCACTGAACGGAGCTCATAAAATCGGGTGCAACAGACTGAACAACGGCCGAAATCCTGGCCCCTTTGATGCAGCCACAGAGGATGACTTATTATACATTGTCCTCTACTGCCCTCTGGTGTCCAGATCCCAAACCAACACCTCTCAACTGTCCTGGGCAAACAAGGTCAAGTAGTAGTAGTAGTAGTAGTAGTAGTAGCAGTAGTAGTAGTAGTAGTAAGAAGAGGAGGAGGAGGAAGAGGAGGAGGAGGAGGAAGAACAAGGAGGAAGGAGGAAGAGGAAGGAGGAAGAGGAAGAACAAGGAGGAAGGAGGAAGAGGAAGGAGGAAGGAGGAGGAAGAGGAGAAGGAGGAGGAGGAGAAGAAGAAGAGGAGGAGGAAGAACAAGGAGGAAGGAGGAAGAGGAAGAACAAGGAGGAAGGAGAAAGAGGAAGGAGGAAGGAGGAGGAAGAGGAGAAGGAGGAGGAGGAGGAGGAGAAGGAGAAGGAGAAGGAGAAGAAGGAGAAGAAGAAGAAGAAGAAGAAGAAGAAGAAGAAGAAGAAGAAGAAGAAGAAGAAGAAGAAGAAGAAGAAGAAGAAGAATCGGGAATATCATTCAGAAGCCAGCCCCAAGCACCAGGACGGGGGTCCCTTCCCACCCGAGGACCCCCTCCCGCTACCTCTTCTATCATGGTGTCCACGGCTCCGGAAAGTTCCTCTTTGCTGCATTCCGTTTCTACCATGTTTCTTAGTCGGAGGCAATATTCCCGCATCTGTTTGAAAGGGGAAACACCCGTTAAGAGCCTTCAAAATGGTAAAAGCACCTGTCAGTACTCAGGTGGTCCTCAATTTACAACGGCTCATACAGTGACCGTTCAAAGTTGCAATGCCAGTGAAAAAAAGCCACTTATGACCGTTTTTCACACTTTACGTCCATTGCAGCATCCCCCCGTGGGTCAAATGATCAAAATTCAGAGGCTCGGCAACTGACTCGTACTTATGACGGTCGCAGTGTGATCCCCGGGCTTATGTGATCCCCTTTTGCAGCCTTCTGACAAGCAAAGTCAATCGGGAGGGGAAGCCGGATTCGCTTAACGACCGTGTCACTAACTGGATCCGCTGCAGTGAATCACTTAACAAAACTGTGGGAAGAAAGGGGGTAACATGGGGCAAAATCTACTTCACGGCTGCCTCACTTGGCAACAGAAATGTGACTTTGGCAGCTAAGGAGCGTTACAAGGGAACTAAAAAAAAAAAGACACTTATGGTCCTCGTCATAAGTCGAGGACTATTTGTCGAGGGGACGAGAAAGCCGTGGTTGGGCGGGGTGATGAGATCCTTTCCAAGGAGCAGAGGAGGTGGTGGGTGGACGTGGTGTAAGCCTGGAGGATTTGGCAAGGAGGGAGAAATACATAGTTTGTATGTAAACGAGTTTTAATTAGATTTCCTCCTCTTTGATCTCCCACTTTTAATTTCTCTTCTTCCCTGTCTGACCTCTGCATAAGGTTGCTTCTCCCCAAAACAATTAGTGGGGTGACTCAGCTATTTAGTTAAAGCATTTACTCAGCCGCCCATCATATTAATCAAATTCTGGGTGCTCTCAACCAGTAGTTAAAACAACGTCAATATATCATTACGCAGGGGTAGGCAACCTTGGCCCTTTTATGACTGGTGGACTTCAACTCCCAGAATTCCTGAGCCAGCATGGGGGAACTATGGCCCCCTCATGACTGGTGGACTTCAACTCCCAGAATTCCTGAGCCAGCGTGGGGGAACTATGGCCCTTTCATGACTGGTGGACTTCAACTCCCAGAATTCCTGAGCCAGCGTGGGGGAACTATGGCCCTTTCATGACTGGTGGACTTCAACTCCCAGAATTCCTGAGCCAGCATGGGGGAACTATGGCCCTTTAATGACTGGTGGACTTCAACTCCCAGAATTCCTGAGCCAGCATGGGGGAACTTTGGCCCCTTCATGACTCCTGGACTTCAACTCCCAGAATTCCTGAGCCAGCATGGGGGAACTGTGGCCCCCTTCATGACTGGTAACACAGCTGTTAAGTGAATCTGGCTTCCCCCCCCCATTGACTTTGCTTGTCCGAAGATCACCAAAGGGGATCATGTGACCCTTAGGACGCTGCAACCGACATAAGTACATGCCAGTTTCCAAGCAGATCAAACTCAACAGGTCCGTCCGGGAAGCTCCGGAGGCAGAGATTTCTTCTCTTTTCTTTTTATAATATTTTATTAATTTTCCAATTTTACATTTGAGTATTTAAAAAGCATCTTTAGGGCAAGTCTCAGGTTACAACATCAGATATTTCTTCTCTTTTTCCCTTAACATTTACTGTCTCGTATTCAGGTTAGTACATTTCTAGTTATATCAACTCAATAAGAACATCATTACATTTATCAATAAATTTTTAGCTTGCACATATCTTAATTACATTCAATCTTCATAAACAATCCATATCCTGTTCTTGATTTTTACTCAATTTTTGATTTCTCATCGATATTCCAATTTAACCTTTAATATCCATAATTTTCAGACTTTGGGTAACCTGAGCAGGGGGTTGGACTAGATGACCTCCAAGGCCCCTTCCAACTTTTTTATTATTATTTTTTATTATTATTTTTATTATTATTTTTTTTTTTTTTTATTATTATTATTATTATTATTATTATTATTATTATTATTATTATTATTATTATTATTATTATTATTATATTTCCCTTATCTCACTTCATAACAAACTATAATGTCCAAAATACACATTTTTATCTATTTGGATGTAATCTTGTTCTATTTCCTAAAAGTTATCTATTTCCCACCATATTAAATCATCTACTTAATAATTCAATATCCCCTTTGATAAATCAAAGCCAGAGGTTTCTCACCTACGTCCCACCTACCTTATTGTTTAGAATGTCATTCATCCGTCTGGAGGTCTCGGAAGTGCTGGATTCAGGAAAAACCTTTTTGGGGACAACGCCGTACTTTTCTGTTTTTAAGACAAAAAAACAAAAAACTCCACCATTCAACACAAATTATCACACCAGCCAGCTGTCAGGTCACAGAAAGTCTCCATAAAGGGGAATATTTGCAGCTCAGGATTGTACTGAGGGGTTCACTGGATGGTTTTCTTGCAGACGTTTCATGACCCAACTAGGGAACATCATCAGGTAGAAGGGAGGAGGAGGAGGAGGAGGATTGTGGGGTCCTTGGTGCCCTCTGAGCTGGGTGGTTTTCTTGCAGACGTTTCATGACCCAACTAGGGAACATCATCAGGTAGAAGGGAGGAGGAGGAGGAGGATTGTGGGGTCCTGGATGCCCTCTGAGCTGGGTGGTTTTCTTGCAGACGTTTCATGACCCAACTAGGGAACATTATCAGTGCTAGGAGGGAGTGTGCTTTGTGGAAAAGGAGCAAGGGTGGGAGGAGGAGGAGGAGGAGGAGGAGGAGGAGGAAGAAGAAGAAGAGGAAGAAAAGGACTGTGGGGTCCTTGGTGCTCTCTGATCTGGGTGGTTTTCTTGCAGACGTTTTATGACCCAACTAGGGAACATTATCAGTGCTAGAAGGGAGTGGAGTTTACAGAGAGGAGGAAGAGGAGAAGGAAGGGGAAGAGAAGGAGAAGGACGAGAAGACAAAGGAATGAAGGGAGGGAAGACCAAGAGGAGAAAGAGAAGAGGATTCTGGAGTCTTTATTGATCTCTGAGCTGGGTGGTTTACTTGCAGATGTTTGATGACCCAACTAGGGAACATTCTCAGTGCTAGAAGGGAGGAGGAGGAAGAGGAGGAGGAGGAGGATTGTGGGGTCCTTGGTGCTCTCTGAGCTGGGTGGTTTCCTTGCAGACATTTCATGACCCAACTAGGTTACATCACCAGTGCCTTTGGAGGGGGGTGGGGGAATGCCAGGGTACCAGGAGGAGAGCCGCAACAGCTTGGGGCACTAAGCCCCCAAATTAAAAGGAACATTTGACTCTCAGGCACCCCAAAAACAAAAACAGAAACGGCACAAAAAAACCCCCACTTCCGCTGCTCAGGTTGTGGCAGAGGCTCACCGCCGTTCGTTTAGTGACCGTTCAAAGTTACGACGGCACTGAAAAAAGGGACTTAGGACCGTTTGTCACGCTTTACGTCCATTGCAGCGTCACGTGATCCAAATTCGGATGCTCGGCAACTGGTTCGTATTTACGACGGTCGCAGGGTCCCGGGGTCACGTGACCCCCTTTCGCGACCTTCCGAAGTCCACGGGGGAAGCCGGATTCACTTAATGACCGTGCAACTCGCTTAGCGACCGAGATTTGCTTAACAACGGTGGTGAGAAAGGTTGTTAAGTGGGGCAAAACTCACCCCACCCCTGTCTCTCGCTCGATGTCGGACTCAACGGGGCTCGTAAGTCGAGGCCTCTGCGCCAATTTCCAGGGGACCCTGGGACCCCCCCAAAGCAGCCCACCCCCCAAAAAAAGATCCAAGGCTCTGGCTTTCCTTACCAATGATGTTCACCAGCATGTCCCACTGGCCGCCATCGTTGGAGGGGTTGGTGAGCAGGAACTGGATCAGCCGTCCGTCGACGGGCTCCTGGGCGGTCTCAATGAAGGCGTGGAGGAAGTAGTAGCAGCGCTCGACCTGGGGGGCCGGGTGGAGAAGAACGTCAGACCCCCACCCTGCTCAGCTATTGCACCCCAAAAGTCGCCATGCCTGGACATGTTCCCCCCCCCCGAGTCCTTCTGTCTGCACCGGCCCAAGCATCAGGGGGTTGGACTAGATGACCCCCAGGGTACCTTCCAACTTTATTACTATTACTATTACTATTACTATTACTATTACTACTGTTATTACTACTATTATTACTATTTTTTATTATTATTATTATTATTATTATTTTCACCATGCCCTTCCCTTTTTGTTAGGACAGGTGGTCAGCTAGATGTTGGGACTGGCGTTTTTATCCCACCCCACCCAGGGTCAAGCCGCCAGAACATCCCCCTGGAAGCAAACCCCCAACCCTTACTAGCACCGATGATGTTCCCTAGTTGGGTCATGAAAGGTCTGCAAGAAAACAACTGACTTCAGAAGCACCAAGGACCCCATAGATTTTTCCTCCTCCTCCTCCACCTCCTCCTCCCTTCTAGCACTGATGATGTTAGCTAGTTGGGTCATGAAACGTCTGTCAGAAAGCAACCAAGATCAGAAAGCATCCAGGATCCCATGGTCGTCGTCGTCCTCCTCCTCCTATTCCCCCCCTCCTCCTCCTCCTCCTTGCAAACCCCACTCCCTTCTAGCCCTGATGATGTTCCCTAGTTGGGTCATGAAACGTCTGCAAGGAAACCACCAAGCTCAGAGAGCACCAAGGACCCCCACAGTCCTCCTCCTCCTCCTCCTCCTGCTTTCCTCAAATTCCACTCCCTTCTAGCACTGATAATATCCCCTAGTTGGGTCATGAAACGTCTGCAAGGAAACCACCCAGCTCAGAGGGCACCAAGGACCCCGTAGCCCTCCTCCTGCTCCTCCTCCTCCTGCTCCTCCTCCTCCTGCTCCTCCTCCTCCTCCTCTTCCTCCTCCTCCTCCTCTCTGCAAACTCCCTCCCTTCTAGCACTGATAATATCCCCTAGTTGGGGCATGAAACGTCTGCAAGGAAACCACCAAGCTCAGAGGGCACCAAGGACCCCGTAGCCCTCCTCCTGCTCCTCCTCCTCCTCCTCTTCCTCCTCCTCCTCCTCTCTGCAAACTCCCTCCCTTCTAGCACTGATAATATCCCCTAGTTGGGTCATGAAACGTCTGCAAGGAAACCACCCAGCTCAGAGAGCACCAAGGACCCCACAGTCCTCCTCCTCCTCCTCCTCCCTGCAAACTCCCTCCCTCCTGGCACTGATGATGTTCCCAAGGGTCTTAAGTGCGAGGACCGGTGCTAAGTCCCTTGTTTCAGTGGCGTTCTAACTTTGGTCGCTAAAGCAGCGGTCGTAAGCCGAGGACTGCCTGGACGCAAGCGAGGGAAGCCGAGACGGCCGTCCTGGGCAACCGTACCTTGTCCCAAAAGAAGAGGTAGGACTGGCTGAATTCGAACTCCTCAATGTTGAGCTTCTTCATGAAGGGCAGGCGCATCACGTTCAGGCAGGAGAAGATCCAGCAGCGTCCTGAGGAGGAGGAGCGGGGGGGGGGGGAGAAAGGCGGAAGGTTTAAACTCCGAGGGAAAGAGAGGAAGAAGCGCCGAAGGTCCTTTCCCCAAAAGGCAAAAAACGGACTTTCTCCGTCTCCTTTTTCCTCGGAAAATGTTTCGCTTCTCATTCCAAGAGGCTTTTCGGTTCTTCAGAGAGAGAGGGGGGGAGAGAGAAAGAGAGAAAGGAAAGAAAGGAGAGAAAGAAAGAGCATCAGGGAGCAAGGAGAAAGAGAGAAAGAAAGAAGAGAGAGAGAGAAAAAAAGAAGGAAGGCAGGAAGGAAGGAAGGAAGGAAGGAAGGAAGGAAGGGAAAGAAAGAAAGAAAGAAAGAAAGAAAGAAAGAAAGAAAGAAAGAAAGAAAGAAAGAAAGAAAGAAAGAAAGAAAGAAAGAAAGGGACAGGGCAACAGAAAAAGGAAAGAAAGAGATAAAGATAGAGATGGAAAAAAAGAAAGAAAAAGAAAGAAAGAAAGAAAGAAAGAGGTGGAAGGAAGGAAAATAGGAAAAGAAAAAAGAGAAAAAAAGAAAGAAAGAAAGAAAGAAAGAAAGAAAGAAAGGGACAGGGCAACAGAAAAAGGAAAGAAAGAGAAAGATAGAGATAAAGAAAGAAAGAAAGAAAGAAAGAAAGAAAGAAAGAAAGAAAGAAGTGGAAGGAAAATAGATAGGAAAAGAAAGAAAGAAAGAAAGAAAGAAAGAAAGAAAGAAAGAAAGAAAGAAAGAAAGAAAGAAAGAAAGAAAGAAAGGAAGGAAGAAAGAGACGGACAGGGCAACAGAAAAAGAAAGAGAGAGAGAGAGAGAGAGAAAGAGAGAAAGAAAGAGAGAAAGAAAGAAAGAAAGAAAGAAAGAAAGAAAAAGAAAGGAAGGAAGGAGGGAGGGAGGCTGAAGAATGGAAGAAGCTTCTTGGATGAGAGGGGAGGAAAAAAAAACCAAGGCAAGCCCAGGTGCCTTCTGGGAAAAGCCCAGAAATGGGGCTTAACTCACTGAACTGACTCACTTAGCAACAGAAATGTTGGCTTGGGTTTTCGTGGTTGTAAGTCGAGGACCTTTCCTAAGGCTTTTAAAACCTGGCTGGCTTCCCGGAGCCTGGGGCGCTGAACGTATCCAGGGCGCTGTTTCTTAATAACTGTTAATTGGCTAATTATCTCAGCTGCTGCCTAGATTCAGGCTGGATGTTTTTAATTGGTTTAAATGGATTTAATGTTTTAATAAGACTTAGAACTCTCAGCCTCCCATAGTTGATGGATAAAGACAGCTGGCTATAAAAATGGAATATATAAAACCACAAAATCTCCTTTCTCGGAACTGTGGCCTGGGCTGGGTGGGTTTACCCCCTCCCCTCCCCTCCCCTGCCCTCCCCTCCAGGTAGAGCCAGGTCTGAGCAGGTGTAGAAAAAGCTGCCCAAGTGGCATTGCAGATGGTCCTCGACTTATAACAGATCGCTTAGCGACCGTTCAAAGGCACTGAAAAAAAAAACAGATGGACAACCATCGTTCACACTTTACCCGTTGCAGCATCCCCATGGCCAGGAGACCGAAAGGCAGACGCTTGGCAACTGACTCGTACTTATGACCGTCGCTGTGTCCCAAGCATATGACAGGTCGTCCTCGAGTTACGACAGTTCATTTAATGACCGTCCAAAGTTACAACGGCACTGAAAAAAGCGACAGGACCGCCTTTCGCACTTACGTCCGTCGTAAACCACCCCCCCCCCCGTGGTCACGCCCTCAAAATTTAGACGCTCGGCAACTGACTCAGACTTACGACGGTCGCAGTGTCCTGGAGTCACGTGATTTCCCCTTTGGTGGCCTTCTGGTAAGCAAAGTCAATGGGGGGGGGGCAGGCGGGGCGAAGCCAGATTTGCTTAACGACCGAGTTATTCATTTAACAGCTGCACTGATTCACTTGAATGCTCCAACACTGGAAGTTTTTAAGAAGAGATTGGACAGCCATTTGTCCGAAATGGTATATAGGGTTTCCTGCCTGAGCAGGGGGTTGGACTAGATGACCTCCAAGCTCCCTTCTGACTTTATTATTATTATTATTATTAACAACCTGCCTCCAGAAGCGGTGAATGCTCCAGCACTGGAAGTTTTTTACGAAGAGACTGGACAGCCATTTGTCTGAAATGGTACTATAGGGTTTCCTGCCTGAGCAGAGGGTTAGACTAGATGACCTCCAAGCTCCCTTCTGACTTTATTATTATTATTAACAACCTGCCTCCAGAAATTGTGAATGTTTCAACACTGGAAGTTTTTTACAAAGAGACTGGAGAGCCATTTCTCTGAAATGGTACTATAGGGTTTCCTGCCTGAGCAGGGGGTTGGACTAGATGACCTCCAAGGTCCCTTCCAACTTTATTATTATCATTATTATCATTATTATCATTATTATTATTAAACAACCAGGGCAAGAAAGGTGATCCCATGGGGCAAAACCTGCTTAACAACTGTCTTGCTTAGCGACGGAATGTTTTAGATCAATGATGGTTGTAAATCAAGGACGAGGTGTAACGCGGGGGTGGGGAGGGGGGAAGCAATTTACCTGAATTCTTTTGGTTGGTGATCGGCTTCCCTTCAGCCGGTACGGCGTGTTGGAAGACCTGCAGGGTGTTTTGGACAACTTCCCGGTCAAGGGTTCCCTCCAGGAGGTCCGTTGAAGTAGCCACATTCTGGGCCAAGACATAGCGAGGCTCCCCTTTCAACGCTTTGAGGAAGGCGGAGGACTTTTTCAGGCTCAATCCTGGATCATGAAAAAGAAAAAAAACCAAAAACATAGAATAATAGAATAATAATCAAGGAGAGAAGCAATCTAGAACTAAGGAGAAACTTCCTGACAGTGAGAACAATTAACCAGTGGAACAACCTGCCTCCAGAAGCGGTGAATGCTCCAACACTGGAAGTTTTTAAGAAGAGACTGGACAGCCATTTGTCTGGAATGGTACAGGCTTTCCTGCCTGAGCAGGGGGTTGGACTAGATGACCTCCAAGGTCCCTTCCAACTTTATTATTATTATTACCTTGCTCAATAGGAGTAACTGTGAGAGGGACCTCGGAGTCCTAGTGGACAATCAATCAAATAGGAGCCAGCCGTGTGCTGCAGCTGCCAAAAAGGCCAACTCAGTGCTGGGCTGCATTAACAGAGGGATAGAATCAAGATCACGTGAAGTGTTAATACCACTTTACAATGCCTTAGTAAGGCCACACTTGGAATACTGAGTCCAGTTTTGGTCACCACGATGTAAAAAAGATGCTGAGACTCTGGAAAGAGTACAGAGAAGAGCAACAAAGATGATTAGGGGACTGGAGGCTAAAGCATATAAGGAACGGCTGCTGGAATTGGGTATGTCTAGTTTAATGAAGAGAAGGACGAGGGGGGACATGATAGCAGCCTTCCAATATCTCAGGGGCTGCCCCAAAGAAGAGGAAGTCAAGCTATTTTCCAAAGCGCCGGAAGGCCGGACAAGAAGCAACGGATGGAAACTAATCAAGGAGAGAAGCAACCTAGAACTAAGGAGAAACTTCCTGACAGTGAGAACAATTAACCAGTGGAACAACTTGCCTCCAGAAGCGGTGAATGCTCCAACACTGGAAGTTTTTAAGAAGAGACTGGACAGCCATTTGTCTGAAATGGTATAGGGTTTCCTGCCTGAACAGGGAGTTGGACTAGATGACCTCCAAGGTCCCTTCCAACATCATCATGCCGGTTAGGGCTTATATTCGGGGAAATAGGGTACTAAATGTGTCTGTCTGGCTGAGGATCTTAACTGGGGCTTATTTTTTGGGTAGGGCTTATATTACGAGCATCCTGAAAAATCGTGCTAGGCCGGCGTATTTTCCGGTTGGGTCTTATTTTCGGGGGGAAACAGTATGATCTCGTTTTGATTCCCTTAAAAACAGAGGAGGAAGGGTGACAGTCTCCGTCCTTCTGTGCCCTTGTAACCGGAGCTGCCCACATCCTGTTTTTAGAAATAATATTATTATCATTATCATTATCATTATTATTATTATTATTAAAGTTGGAAGGGACCTTGGAGGTCATCTAGTCCAACCCCCTGCTCAGGCAGGAAACCCTATACCATTTCGGGCAAATGGCTGTCCAGTTTCTTCTTTAAAACTTCCAGTGTTGGCGCATTCACCGCTTCTGGAGGCAGGTTGTTCCACTGGTTAATAATGATGATAATAATAATGGCTGTCCAGTCTCGTAAAATCGTCCAGTGATGGAGCACCCACAACTTCCGGTGGCAAGTTGTTCCACTGGTCAATTGTTCTCACTGTAAGGAAATTTCTCCTTAGTTCTAGGTTGCTTCTCTCCTTGATTAGTTTCCATCCGTTGCTTCTTGTCCTGCCTTCAGGGGCTTTGGAGAATAGCTTGACTTCCTCTTCTTTGGGGCAGCCCCTGAGATACTGGAAGGCTGCTATCCTGTCCCCCCTCATCCTTCTCTTCATTAAACTAGACAGACCCAATTCCAGCAACCGTTCCTTGTATGTTTTAGCCTCCGGTCCCCTGATCATCTTTGCTGCTCTTCTCTGCACTCTTTCTAGAGTCTCAACATCTTTTTTTAAACACTGTGACGACCAAAAATCTTAAATCTTAATAAAGATAGCCGCATGAGGGCCAAGCCACACTTTGGAAAATTACTCCCGTCTTGGGATTCCTCCTCCGTGTTGCTTACAGACAGGAAATACCCCAGGCGAATTCTCGGAGGCATTGCAACAAAGACATTGCCAAAGCCGGTTGAGAAATTTAATTCTGTTGCAGGCGAAGGTTTAACGTACAGCGGTGGGGCTAAAAATGTGGCATTTGTGTGGCCCCACCTTCAAGCTGCCAATAATTTATTCTGCTTTTACGGTGGCTTCCGCTGCTCGTAGGATCGTCTTACGTGTCACAATCCCTTTTGTGCAGCTCTTAAAAAGTGCCACACACACACACACCCACCCATAAATAACCAGGACAAAGAGCAATTCCCAAATATTTATTAACCTGTCCAACTTACAGAACCGCTGTCCCTCTGAGAAACATGTCTGATTTGTAGAGTTAAAAACGAAACACTCCCAAAAAAACCCCCCCAGCACTGATGACGTTACCTAGTTTGGCTCACGAAACGTCTGTAAGAAAACCGCTCTCAGTTCAGCCCTGAGCTACAAATAATTCTCCTTTATCGGAATCCCAAAAAGGCATCGCAAAGCATAAAAATATACCCAGGAAAAAAAACCAAAAACGTGAGATATAATTTAAAAAAAACCCGCTCATAAAACCCGAATACTCTGAAAAAGGAATTGCCAAACTCAAAGAGTGGCGGGTGACATATTCTTATTTTTTTTTCCTCCCCGAATTTCTGAGATGGGAAGGATGGCTCCCAAGCAGGTAATAAAAATAATTAATTATGGAATTTAATAAATGAACCTCTTTATTCTTTTCTAGAGCCATTTCACACCCACAAAAACTCAGGGAGGACAATGAAGCTGTCGCAACCACCTATCTATCCTCAATTGATGTATAAGTTGAGTCCCAAATTTCCGTTGCTCAGTGAGGCATTTCTTGAGTTTTGCCCTCTTTTACGACCTTTCTTGCCACCGTCGTTAAGCAAATCGCTGCGAGTGTTAAGTCAGTCACATGGTCGTTAAGCGAATCCGGCTCCCCCCCATTGACTTAGCTTGTCGGAAGGTCACAAAAGGGGTCATGTGACCCCCACGGGACACTGCAACCGTCGTAAGTACAATTCAGTGGCCAAGCTTCTGAATTTTGAGCACGTGACCCCGGGAGATGCTGCAACGGTCATTAAGTGGGACAAACGGTCCCGAGTCACTTTTTGCAAACTTTGGGCACTAAATGAACGGTCCTAAGCCGAGGACTGCCTGTCATTTCTCTGCAATTGGCACCGAGGCGGCCCCAATTATGGGATGGCGTCACATTCTGTCACCCGCTCACTCAAATTACCCCCCTTTTGCTGCACCCCAAAACTGTGCCTGCCCCAAACATCCCATTGAGCCCCAAATTTAAGGGGGTTTAATTTGCTTTAAAATTGTGTTTTTCAAAGCTGGTTGCTTTAAGACGGGGGGGGACTTCAACTCCCAGAATTCCCCAGCCAGCTCTGCTGGCTGGGGAATTCTGGGAGTTGAAGTCCCCCCCCCCTTAAAGCAACCAGCTTGGAAAAACAGATTTAAATTTGGCTCTGCTTTTGGGGGGGGGCTGTTTTTAGACTTCTTAGCCCCCCCGCCTCACCCGCAGAGGGAGAAAGCGCGCTGCACATGCTCAGAGGCACGCTGGTCCTTCGTCCCCGCGGGAAGAGCCCTCGCCTGCCCGGCTCCCGGGGCCACGGCCGTGCCCATGGCAACCCCGGAGTCGCCGTCGCCCCCTCCCTCCGCCGTCGTCCCCATGGCAACGCACCTGGGACGCACATCGCTGGGCCCTCCGGGCAAAGCCGCCGCCGCCACCGCCGCCGCCTCGCCAGCAACCAGCCGGGCGCCGGAAGCGGCGCTTATATAGCCTCGGAAGCAGGAAGTTGCCCCCACGACGGGGGGCGGCGGCGGTCAATCCTGGCGCGCTCCGGCGGCTTCGCGCGGGAGGCGGGGAGGGGGCGGGGCCTGCGCTTAAAGGGACCGCGCGCTGATTTTCTTCCCCGGCGCGAGAGGAGTGGCGGGTGGGGGTGGGGCAGGGAGGGAAAGGGAAAGGGGGTGTTGTCAGCAAATGCGGGAGGGAGGGGGCTGGTGGTGGGGAAAGGGGCTCGCCCCCCCCCGGGGCAGTCTGCCTTGGGGACTCTGGACCGGGGTCTTTCTCGAGATGGCCTACCTGGCGAGGTTGTTGTTGTGGGGGGGGGGGAAGCAGAGAGAGGGAGAGCGGGTTTCGTTGGGAGGAAAATAGAAAGGGCCAGCCTGAAAAAGGGGCAGATCTGAAAAGGGTTCCTAAGGATAAAATCTTTCAGCTGTCTGTCTCTCTGTGTGTCTGTCTGTCTGTCTATCCTATCATCTATATCATCTATCTTCTAAATATATCTATTAACCTATCCGTTATCTATTGTTTGTCATCTATCTCTCTTTGTCTATCTATCTATCATTATCTGTCTGTCTGTCTGCCTGCTTGCCTATTTATCTACCTACCTACCTATCATTTATCTTCTAATATCTGTCTATCCATTATCTATTTGTCATCTATCTCTCCAGGTCTGTCTGTCTGTCTGTCTGTCTGTCTGTCTGTCTGTCTGTCTGTCTGTCTGTCTATCTATCTATCTATCTATCTATCTATCTATCTATCTATCTATCTATCTATCTATCTATCTATCTAATCACTGATGGCAAACCTTTTAGAGCAGGGCTTTTCAACCAGTGGTAGGGGTGCCCCCTGTGGGACATTGGCACCTGGCAGGTGGTACGCGACCATCCTAGAAAAGTGGTAGCAGGGGAGGGGAATGAGCTGAACCGGTGGCAGCACCGCACAAGCCTGAGCGAGAGACGGCTGGAGCTGCAGGGCGGTCAGGGCTCAGCGGAAGCGCCAGGATCAGCGCCGCTTTCCAGCTGATCGGCGCTTCTTCGGGACTGTCAGGACTCAGCGGAAGCCCCAGGATCAGCGCCAGGCTCCAGCTGGAGCTCAGTGCTGATCCTGGCACTTCTGCTGAGCCCTGAAGAAGCACCGATCAGCTGGACTGTTGCAGCCTCTCCAGGGTCTTGTGATTTACATTCAGATGCTTGGCAACTGATTCATACTTATGACGGTCACAGTGTCCCAGGGTCATGTGAAGTGACC